TCTCCCACTAGAGACACCAAAAGCAGCTAGGGGATGGCAGGTAGATTATGCCAGCCAGTCGGATGCTTCCATATAGGATATCGCTCTCTGGTTATAGTTAACAGAGGCAGGGACAGTTGGGAAATCATGGATGGCAGCACACAGTCTGGCAGCTATAGGACCGAAGATGTCCAGTAGCCATGGTTTGGATATTGCCCATAGAACTGTCCTAACCAGATGAATGGCTCCAACTCTCTGCCTACCCTTGACCCTGGCCTATTTTCAAAGCCTGGTTCTACAGTGAATCTGTAAATTACATGTTATACTTTCGAAATATTTTTTCTTCCTTAAGCTAAACAGATGGATTTTCTGTTACTTGCCATCCAAAATCTTGACTGATATGTATGTGTGTGGGGGGTGGGGGGAGAGAGAGAATGAACCACAGAATCTGGAAGCATGAAATGAAGCAACCTTCACAAGTTACGAAGCACTAGGCTTCCTTTCATGCGTCCTGAAGTAGGCTTCTCTTTAGGTTGGAATCTGATTGTGATTTCTGTTGTAACCACTGATGGTGACTAAAACCATTGTGAAATATGAAAAATATTCCCTAAATGTGGAACAAAGGTGACTTGGAGATAATGATATTATTTTAGGTAGAGCACCCAATATGGCATTAGATCATATTGAATCACACAGTGAGAAAGTGATTTCTTTTTCTATTGCCTGTCAGTCCTTCTGACACTACCAAGGACATCATGTTGGATTGTTATCTCTTTAATGCTTCTTAACACTTACCACTCTTCTTTTTTTTTTTTTAAATTTATTGTAGAGATGAGGTCTCGCCAAGTGGCCCAGGCTGGCCTCGAACTCGTGGGCTCAGGCAATTCTCTCACCTCAATCTCCCAAAGTGCTGGGATTATAGGCGTGAGCCACGGTACCTGGTCTACTCTTCTTTTTTAATAAAGAGAAGGCTGCCTTGGGCTCAGTGCATTCATAGACAATAGTTTCTTGCTAGAATTTAATTACATTTTTGTTTTTATTGTATTTAGTTTTCTGGTTACCTCCTACTTATAGCAAGTCACGCCAAATTTCCACTTACAGTCGTGATATAAGCTTTTCTAAATTTTTTTCCAGCTAAAGAAGGGAGTCAACCTAAAAATGCCAAGTAAATAATAGCACAGATAGAACACAGGGCAAAAATCCCAAAGATGATGAATGATTGTCTCCAGTTTAGAAAATACTAGGGTAGTCCATCCATTAGGGCCACAGATACAGAAAGCAAATGACAAAAAACAGAACTTGAAAAAACATAACAACAGCAACTCCTTCAGAAACATTTCTGCAGGCACACAGGTGTGTGGTGAACAAATAATTTACTTCATTGAAGTCCAAGACCCCAGATGGCAGTGGGGTTGAAGGAGGTAAGGGTGGCAATTATTGCCATCATGAAACTGAAAGCAAGTGGGTTAAAAGGACAAGGCATGCTATGCCAGCACTTTCTTGAGGAAGAATCCATACAGATCCCAAATGGCTGTCAAACCCTATCTCCCTCCTCATTCAGAGAAGGGATAATCCACTCATGCATAGAGGCAACAAATGGCAACTTTCTGAGTGAGACAGAGCGATGGGTTGATCTTGTTATCCTTGTTTTTTGAAGTAACATCTCCATAATTATATTCCAAAATGTAAATTGTTAATTTTATTCTCATGCTTCATTTAAGTTTCCTTAACCCAATCATTCTCAATTGGGAAGCGTAATTTATTTTTTTCAAACTACCTGCATAACAAAGGTTCTAGAATGTTCCACTGGGGGTGGGTACAGGAATACCAGCTCTCCCTTGCTTCCCACCTGATTAAAGCCAATGTAAAAACAAAAGTATATCATGCCCCTCTGGAAAGAACAAGTGAGGGAAAGATTCAGAACCACTTCTTCACTGAGAGCCACAAACTGTGTAACTCTCTCCCTTCACGGGACAGGCATATGGGTAGTGCAGAAAGAGATCTGTTTACCTTTCAGCACCATAATACATATGAATAGAAGATGTTAGGAAGAATTGTTCTCAGCACCACAATAATTTGTAAAATGACTGGGTGGTGATTATACAACATCTTGATGAAAGTTACAGAAACAAGGAAAATAACTATGTAAGAGCAAAAGACACTTCGAACCAGCAAAGACTCTTCAAAAACTTTGAAAAGAATATTGAACTTGTAAGAGGACATACCTCAGCATTGGATCTTGTGTAATTTTTAAAAATTCAGAAAAAGGGTTACCACCCAGAGCAGCTTTTTAATGACAAAGATCTGGTGTATCTCAGCAGGCAATGCCTTCTATAACTTAGAAGTCTTTCTTTTCCTCTTTTTCTTCCTTCTCTCCTTTCTTTCTTTCCTTTCTCCACTAACCTCCTATTTTCTGAGCTTTTGCACACTCTTCCAACCAGTAGCCCCTGAGATTATCTGTGGTTCATTGGTTATTCCTGGTTTTTAAACTGCTTTCTCCAAAACCTGTGACCATATGAGGGAAAGCTGGCAGGGTGAAACCCACTTTGATTTGAGAGTAGTGTTTTAAGGGTACAGGCTCTGCTATTGACTATGTGATATTTCAAACCTTGACTCTATAACTTACAAGCTGTGTAACATTGAGCAAATCACTTCATTTTTGTGTGTGCATGCCTTGGTGTTCTATCCTACGTAATTGGATTTGGTGATGATTCGATGAGTGAATTTGTGCAAAGTGCAGGGAACAGGACCCCGTATAAATAAGCACAATATAATTGTTAGCTTTACATATTTGACTTCTCTCACAAAAGACTTTTACTGCCCCCAAAGATTTGAAAATCATTTTTCAACTGTTGCAGATTGTTGTAGTCATTGTCTGAAGAATACCATACCATTTCACACACAGTTTTCATCAATTCTCGTTTCCCTGTCTTGGAATAACTATTTTTCAGAACATAGTACCTCATTCCCACTATTCTCAGGGTCAGATGTCCTTGCTGCTGTCTTTGTCCAATTACTGCTTATGTTTTAGTGGCTTCTTTCCAACTATTCTTATCAGAATCACATTACCTAGAAAGCACGTAGTTGAATCCTCTTTTTTACCCAGAAGGAAATTTGGGTCTTTCTAAATCAATTACCTCACATAGTTTTATAGGGAGAGACAGCAAGAGAATGAGAGAACAAGAGAGAGAGAGAGAGAGAATACTAGCTTCTCGACTCCTATTTCATTACTTATTCTCCACAATACCCTTTCTCCTCAACACTTGGTAGAATTTTAAACTGGATGACTTCAAGTTCCTTTCCACTGTCACAACCCACATATCTCCTTAATGACCCTTGAAATTCTGCGATTATTAAAGTCTCTGAAGAAGTGATGTCTTTGGGTTTCTTCCTCCCTGCCACACAGTGGACATTCTGAGATTGGCATTCATTTGTTCATTCGTTTACTTAAGCTTTTTTTTTGAGCATCTAAGTAGTTCCAGACTGTGTGCTGGGTTCGAGGAATTCAGGATTAAATGTCAGGGTCCCTGTGTTAGAGAAGCTCGCCTCCTGATTAGGTAGGCATACAAATAATAACAAGTGACAGGAAAGCCTACAGTATCTAAGGGATGGGGTGGGGTTCATGCACAGCATGTTGTTGGGAAGGAGAGTAGCTCAGCCAGCCCCGGGGGGTCATGGGTCAGGAGAGTCTTTCTGCAGGAATTGGTCTGGAATCTGAATTCTGAAATCTAGGAATAGAAATAAGCCAGATGAAAAAAGAGGAAAATGTGCTTCAGGAAGAGAGGGCAAGGTGGGAGGGAAGGCAAGGGCAGCTGTGACAGCAGGGGAGTTTGGGGAAGTGCCAGAAGTTCTGTTCAGTAGGAGGAGAGGTCAGAGAAATTAGCAACAGTGAGGACTGAACAACTGGGCTAGGTCTTGAAGAATCTTGTCAGTTGCAGAAAATAATTTTATTCTTCAAGCCACAAGGAGTCGACGTAGAGGTTTAGTCAAAAGTAAGGTTGAACCTATTTTATTCTGTGGTGACAGTATGGAGAATGATAGGAGGTTATTGTACTAATTAATTCAGGTGAGATAAGAAAACAGAGTATCTCAGAGCACAGAAATACATCCCTATGGCAAAACGTTCATCTCCTGTTGAATATCCCTATGAGCTAAATTCTTGTGTCCTGAAGTACAACTTTACCATTTCTTTTCATCTATTTACAGTTTCTTTAATAACTTGCACTTTTTTTTTTTTTTTAACCTTAACTGGATTTAACCAGCTTAGTTTAACTATTCTTTCTGTTCTATTTTTAAGCAATCAAGAAAGCCTTTTTCCTTTTGGTTTTATCTACAATTATCCTTTCATTGAGCATTGATTTAAATTTCTGTTAAGAAACAGACTGTGTGTGTGTGTGTGTGTGTGTGTGTGTGTCTTGCATGTAACAGGAAATTTTAAATTTGGTAATATTTCACATGCAGATAAAAAATGTATGTATGTTATGAAATTTCATCTCTCAATACTTCTACCATGCCTATCACAAAGGAATTTGGGCAATTCACATTTGAGGAAGTAACTTATATTGTCTGAAAGGTACATTTTTAAAAGGACCCCTGACAAATTTTGATGAATCAGCAGAACTGCTAAGACCATTTCCTGTCTAGAAAAACCGAAAGAAGACATACACTTTTTTCTCTTGCAATTTTTTTGACCCTGCATGAGATCTACAACGTTCCTGAGTTGCTCTTCATCTAAGTAATATCTCAAGTGAAACTAAGATTTAGCCAGGACTAGGAGTAGGCAGGCAAGACGCAGAGGAGCTGCTTTCTAGAAAGAATAACTCCCACTGTCATCTTATACCAAAGTCTCCTTACTCTTTCCTGTGTTTTGGATAAAGAGGGGGTCAGCGTGACACCTTCTCACGCGCGGGCGCGCGCACACACCACTCGGGGCTGTTCCCGAGCTGTTTGGGGGCTCTGGCTCCACCTCTGCAGGTGCCCTTGGCCTCTGGGTCCTCCCCTCTCCTCTCCCGGGTACTCACAGAGTCTGCGTACTGGGCGGCAGGCTGGGGATGCGGTGGAGATCCTTGCAGGTGACTCTGAAGTCGTCTTCCTGATGGCACTCGCAGGGCGGAGACGGACACCCCTTTCCCCCCAGGCTCCCGGGCAGGGCGAGCAGCAGGACCAGCGGCAGCAGGTGCGCCGGCTTCATCTTCCGCGGGACCCGGGGCTATTTCTTCATCCTCCGCAACCGCCTCATTCTCAGCCCTCTGCGCCTCGGGCTCCCCCAGGCTGGAGGAGACCCAGGAGCGGGAGGGGTGGAGGCGGGAGGGCTGGAAGGGGCTGTGACCTCACCACCGCAGAGGAGGCTGGAGAAGGGGAAAGCGGCTCTGAAGTGCTCCGCTTCCCTAGGCAACTCTCCACTCAGCCCAGCCCACTCGCTTCACATTCCTCGGCCCAGCCGCGCAGCCTGCTCCATCTGGGCCCTGACACTCAACCCGGGTCCTGGCTGTCCCCTCTGCCTTCCCACGCGCCTCATGCGATCCTCCCACTTCCCAGTCCACTTCAAAGCCTAGTTCAGAGGGCCCCTCGTTCCTTTGACTTGACGTCCAAAGAGCCCTCTTGCCCCGTGGGTGGCCTCAAAGCGCTTCCTACCTGGTACCCACCCCCGCGCGCTTTTTATCCAAAGTTCCCGCGGAGTGGACCGCACCAGGGTGCACCAGGGTCCTGCAGAACTCCATAACTTCCTCCTGGCCGCAAAGACCCCGCGGCTGAGAGTCGGGGTCCTGGCCAGCCCCAGGTGCGGCCGAAGCCGGCGCGCCACACCCCCGGCGGGTCCTCGCTGCTCCCCGAGTTCAGCGCCCTCCGCGGTCGCCGTGAGCCAGCGGCCCCCCGCGCGGGCATCGCCGCCGGGAATCAGCCGGCGGAGCCCGGGAGGCGAGGCAGGCCCTGGGCTCTGGGGCCATCTGCTGTGCAGAACAGGAAGCGCAGAAACGGTTGCAGGTTCCCTGAGAACGAACCCAGCCTGCAAAGTCTGGCCTGCTTAAGAGATTTTACTGAGCCGAATGTCCCCCAGATGATGGAAGGATAAATAATACTCAAGCGACACACCTTCATCTACTCATCATTTTCACAGAGTAACCAAAAAGACAATGGCAAATATAAATCTGATTGTGCCATTTTTGTTTCTTACAAGTCTTCAATTGTTTTCTAATACCTTTTGGGGTAAAAGGAGTATCAACTCCTTACATACGACATAATTCCTTTTTATATGAACTTCTAGGAGAGAGGAAAAAGCTATGATGATGGAAATTAGAATAAAGGCTAGGGGAGATTGACTAGAAGAAGACAGGTGGGAACACACAGAGTCCTATATTAGGCTGAAGATTACGTGGAAATTATCAAAATTCATTGAACTGTTCTTGTAGAATATGTTCATTTTGATGTGTAGAGAAACTTTATGGATAATCACTGAAAACTGAAAATCACCCAAATGTTCTACAACCAAATGCTGATACTCTTCCACAATAAAAATAAATGAACTGTGGACACACACAACATGCGCACATCTCAAGTGCATAATGCCAAGTGAAAGAAGCCAAACTCAAAATATTATGTATTTATATGCAATTATTTGTATAAGTGAATTCATTTATATCAAAGTCTCAAAGAAAGGCAGGGAAACAGATCAGTGGTTGCAAAGGCCTGGGGTTCAGAGGAGAGGCTGACTAGAAACATACACCAGAGAACTTTCTGGGTGATGAAACTGTTGCAAATCTTGCTTGTGGTGGTGGTTCTGTGTAGTTGATTGGTATGGTGGAACACAATTGTTTTTTGAATGTTAAACTCACTTTGTATTTCAGGGATAAACTCCACTGGATCATGGTGTATTTGTTATCGTTTCAACATACTCTAGGATTTGATTTGCTAAAGTTTTGTTTAGAAGTTTTACAAAGATGTTCATAAAGGATAGTAATCGGTTATCTTCTTTTCTGCAATTTCATTGTCTAATTAATTCTCCCATCACAAAATGAGCTGGGAAATATTCCCTCCTCTTCAAAAATTTTTAAGAGTTTATGTAGAATTGGTATTATTTCTTTCTTAATTACTTGATACAATTCATCAGTAAAGCTGTCTGGATCTTGAGTTTTCCTTTTTGGAAAATTTTTAGCTAAAAATTCAATCTGACCTTTTTTATTTTATTTCTTTGCCCACTTTGGGTTTAATTTGCTCTTCTTTACTTAGTCTCTTAATGTGAGGTTCAGGCTGAAGTCATTGATTTGAGACCTTTTTTTTTCTACAATATCATTGGTGTGTAGTGCTACAGACTTTTCCTACATGTACTACTTTAGCGACATCTCACAAGTTGTGATATCTTATAATTTTATTTTCATTCAGTTCAAAATACTGCTTAATTTTTGTTTTTATTTCTCCCCTGATTCATGGGTTATTTAGAACTGTTATTTAGTTTCCAAATATTTGAAGATTTTCCAGATATTCTCCTGTTATTAACTTCTAAATTAATTCCATTGTAGAGAGCAAACATACTTTGCATGATGGAAACTTTTATGTTTAGTGAGACTTGCTTTATGACTCAGGATACAGTTTCTTTTGGTAAATATTCAGTGTAATCTTGGCAACAATGTGAAATCTGCCTTTGTTGTATAAATGTCATTAGGCTGAGTTGTGATAGTGTTGTTCGAGTCTTTTTTGTTTTTGCCAATTTTTCTGTCTACTTGTTATATCGATTATTGAGCTATGGGCACTGGAATTTTTTACTACAGTTGGGGATTTGTTTTTTCCCCATTGTATTTTTATCAGTTTTTGCTTCTTGTATTTTGGAGGTCCATTACTAAGTGCATAAATGTTTAGAACTTTAATTTTCTTGATCCCCTCATCATTGTGAAATAATCATCTTTAAATTACCTTGTGATTTATTTTTGCTCTTTTATCTACCTTTTCTGGTATTGATAGAGCCAATGCAACTTTTTAAAAATTAGTATTACTACAATACACTATTTCCATATTCACTTCAACCTCTTTGTGTCTTTATATTTAAAGTACATTTTTCATAAATAGCATAGAATTGGGTCTTGCTTTCAATCTGTCGATCTCTACCTCTTGTTTGAATTGTAGATTACTTACATTTGATGTCATTACTGGGTTTAAGTCTATAATTTTGCTACTAGTTTTCTATTTGTTCTTTGATCCAGTTTTCCTTTTGTTAAACCTTTTGAATCAGCTCAGGAATTTTCATGATCTTTGCTGAATCTTAGCTATAACTGTTTGGTTATTGCAGTTGTTACTTTAAGGCTTATAGTTTGCATCTTTAAGTTATCATAGTTTGCTTTCAATCTATAATATGCCACTTTGAACATGGTTTAAAAGAACCCTACACCACTTAAATTTCTTTTTTCCTCCCATGCCTGACTTTTATGCTTCTATCGTCATATGTTTCACTTACACGTAGGTTATAAATCTCACAATATGGTGTTATTATCTTTGTTAAGCTAACCAATTATCTTTCTTAAAGATTCCAATAACAAGTTTCCCTTACTAGTCTTTCTTATTCTTTAGTGTAGAGTCATATTTTCCATTGCTGTCACTTTCCTTTTGCTTGGATGACTTTCATTAACATTTCTTGTAGAGCAAATCTGCTGGCTAGAAATTATTTCAGCCTTTGTATTTGAAAAAGTATTAATTTTGCCTTCTTAAAAGGATATGATGATGAGGCATAAAATTATAGACCGATAGTCTTTTTAACTTTCATGCTTTAAAAATATCTCTTCGTTGTCTTGTTGCTTGCATTGTTTGCAAGGACAAATCTTCTGTCATAGTCTTCGTTTTTGTTGTTGTTATTCCTTTATAATATGCTTCTCTCCACCCCTCAGGCTGTTTTTAAGACTTTATCGCGGTTTAAAAGCAATCTGATTATGATATGCCTGGATGTATGTATTTCTTGTGCTTGGGGTATTTTGAGACTCTTGGATCTGCGTGTTTATGGTTTTTATCAAAATCTGAAATTTTTTCAGACACTGCGTTCCCATTTCTCCATATATTTTTTCTTTTCCTTTTTGCTTTCTTTTCCTTTGAGGATCCCAATTACTACACTATTACTAGGTTAATTGAAGTTGTCTTACACAAAGAGAATATGGGTGCTTTATTCAGCAAAATTTTTTTTCTCTTTGTCTTTGATTTTGAATAGTTTCTTTTGCTATACCTTCAAATTCATATTTTATTATTCCTTCTGCAATATTTAATCAGTCACTAATCCCATCGAGTGTATTTTTTATGTTATAAATTGGATTTTCATCTCTAGAATTTTAATTTGGGGTTAAAAGTATTTTCCTTACTTCTGTGTAACTTTATATCTAAAGTACAATCATTGTTTCAATGTCTTTAATAATTCTCTAGGATTGCTTTATTTAAAAAAGGACCACAAATTTCATTGCTTAAAACAAGAGAAATTTATTTTCTCACATTTCTGGAGACTACAAGATTAAAACTAAGGTGTTGGTAGGGACATGCTCTCTTTGAGGGCTCCAGAGGAGTACCCTTCTTTGGCTCTTTCTGCTTCTAAGGTTGCCAGCAATCCTTGACATTCCTTGGCTTGCATCACTGAAATTTCTCCTGTGTCATCACCTGGTGTTCTCTTTGTATGTTCCTGTGTCCTAATTTCTCTCTTTCTATAAGGTCATAAGTCATTGGATTAGGGCCCATGTTAATCCAGTATGAGTTCAACTTAAATATTTGCAAAGATCCTATTTCCAAATAGGTCACTTTAACAGGTACTAGGTGTTAGAATTTCACGATACCTACTTGGGGAACACAACTCAACCTACAACAATGTCCCAGTTTGATAGTCTAATTTTTGGTCAGTTTAGGTTGGTTAATTTTTCTTCTTAAAATGGGTTGCATTTTCCTGCTGATAATTTTGTTTGGATGGCAGACATTGTAAATGTTACCCCTTTTGTTGCTGGATTTTTGCATTCATATCAATATTCCTGAGATGTGTTATCAGATGTAAATGACTTTGAAACAGTCTGAGACTTTTGCATCTTGCTTTTAAGGTTTGTTATGTGGGACAGGACAAGCATTTAATCTGGGCTAACTATTCCCCATTCCTGAAGCAAGACCATTCCGATTGCTCTACCCAGTGCTCCATGAATTACATGGTGTTTCCATTTGGCTGGTGAAAATAGTCACTATTCCTGGTCCTTTATGAGCGACAGGCACTTTTCCCTCCAATTTGTTAGATACTTCTTTCTCCAGTCTTGGTTTCTTCACGTGTATGTAAGGATTTGTCATTTTTTTTTTTTTTTTTGAGTTGGAGTCTCACTCTGTTGCCCAGGTTAGAGTGCAGTGGCATGTTGGCCTCCAGCGATCCTTCCGCTTCAGCTTTCCAAGTAGCTGGAACTATAGGCGAGTGCTACCATGCCCAGCTAATTTTGATTTAT